TCTCAAACTGTGAAGATATCTTGAACATGCTTAAATATAATTCAAAAACTTTTATTGCACGTTTTGTGGCCGATAGGCGGACGCCGAAAAGTCAACAACACCTAAGTTTCATTCTGCTAAAGTGCAGTTGAACATAAACATAATACATTTCAAAACACTGTTTTCATAGTATCGCGTCTCGTAATCTTTTTCGGATATTTATCTTGTGGTACATTTACGCACGTTGCTTAACGCAAATACAGACATTAAACTGTCAGAATGTGTACAATTATTATAAAAACAACCATTTACAGAACGACCGGGGTACGACCGGGAACAACCGTAGTACATCCGTTACTCTGCCGGCAACGTCCGGGATGATCCAGGAACATCCGGCATTCGACCCCGGATGGAATAAAATGTTTAATATCACGGGGTGGTCCGGGATGATCCGGGAAGGTACAAACCGGGGATGATCCGGAGTATGATATAGCCGGTAGAGCTACGGTAGAGCCCCGGTAGATGCCGGCAGAGCCCCGGCAACTACAGGCAGAATTCTGATGATAAAGGTGCTACGGTTGATCCCGGTAGAGCCCCGGCAAAACCCGGTTCATTTAAAAAGAATAACGACAATTTGCGATGATTGCACTTGTTTGTATTAAAACCTTTCCCATTTCTCTTGTATCCAATCTGGTAAAAGGATTTTTCAGGAAATCAACATGAATTACTATTCTGGAACAACTTCAAAATAATTTCACTCTGAGTTATTAACATGTTTACTGTTGTCTTAAATCATCACATGGTTTGTTTGGACCTCTACACTCTCCTGGGGTGACATGTTTTGATCAATGTCATGGCTTTTAATTGTCCTTTACTTCAGATATAGGATTTATCAGTCAGTGTTTTCATTTGTAGTTTGAAATTGCTTGTAAAGGAGGATACATGTTCATTAAGAATACCAAAGTGGTACATGTACAGGGACGGGGGCTGCAAATACCTGTCATTGAGATATATTCAGGGAAAGAGCCTTCAATATATTGTCCAAAGGGAACCTGTTCAGGAGGTGGTTGAAAATGATTGTCCTTGGGAATTTATTCAATATATTTCCAAGCGTCACAAATTCAGAGGCGGTGGGATGAAAAACCTTGTCATTCGGGGTATATTTTAGGATGTCCATTTCATGTTCATTTGCAAGTTTAATTAAGAATTAAAACTAGACAATCATTTCATATTGAACATTAAAAACATGTTTCTATGAGTAAAGTGTTTTATGCAATAATTTATTTATTCTTAACATATCTGCAATAAACTGTGTACTAAATTGGGATAATCTATTTACACGTGTTTGCACTATGAATATGACCACACTAAAAATTATAACAATATATGTGTAAGATAATGATATCAACTTTAAAATGCCATAAAACATAATAATACAATTATTGCTTTTATAGATTTTTAATCAATCAATAAAATCCATGTCTGTTGAAAATGATGTTGTTACATACAGTGTACTGTATTTACTGAACTGTATATCAATTTCCTTTCGACATAATTTTCAAACATCCAATAACTAGTTACAAAAAAAGAAGAACAAAACAAACAAAAAATAAAAACTGGTTACATTTATACAATGTGTATTTCTTGATACATTTCAAAAGTTTTATTATAATACAGACACATATTAAAACTTGACAAAAAACTTTATCTGACAATAATTTCTTTATGTCTTCCTTATCTACGTGAACATTCGGTCAAATATTTAGTCATGTTTTTTTTTTATTACTGATGAAATTAAACAATTTGCATTAAGGTATGAGCCGCCTAATGGGCACTATAAGGAACTATAAAATTTACAACATAGGCTACTAATATACCTTAAAAGACACAAGAAAGCAAAATTTAAACAAAGTATGTTTTATGAGTTATGGAAATTTTTCTTAAGTAAATCTTGGCTATTAGAAGGGCTCTTTTTCAGAAATGATAAACTTTAAATATTATATTTTGTAATCATTATGAAAATAATTTTTTCTATTGAACATTTTTGAGAAAAAATAATAGCATTCAGCTAACAAATGACCCAGCAAAATTATTGTTTCTACTCAAAATGTTTGAAATATGTATATAAATGTTACCCTACCCCACCCATTTAAAGTACTTGTTTGATCATTTTTCTACTTGGAGGACCTTATTTAAAATATCCCTTAAATTTACTCAAATCAGGGGCTGTTTTCAAAGTTTGAATAAATTTTCTTAAAAGAATACAAGTTGCGCTTGTCAAATATAAAATACTTTTTCCGTCTAGTTTTTATTATGCCCCCCTTCGAAGAAGAGGGGGTATATTGTTTTGCAAATGTCGGTCTGTCTGTCTGTCGGTCGGTCGGTCTGTCTGTCTGTCGGTCCGTCGGTCTGTCCGTCGGTAGACCACATTAGGTCAAAGGTCAATGTCACATATGCCTTAAATGTCAAAATGGTTTCCGTTGATTTTTCCATAATTGAACACTTCCATGTACCCATTTTTGGCAAGTTTCTGTAATAAAATTACCAATTATGTGAGTCAATGGCTAGAAAGGGGGGTATATGTGTCATTCGACATTCTTGTTTTATTAGACTTTGAAAATACCAGGTACCATATTTGATAAAAAAAATGGCACAATATAGCCAATAAATACCAATAATAATTTCATAATTAAAATGAAACACTTTTTTCTTCTCAAGAGTGATATGAGAGACACAAATAATGTTCAAAGAAAAAAAAGAAAGAAAAAAACTTGCCACTTCTGGGGCTTGAACCCACGCCCCTCAATTACACTGCAGTTGACAGCAGTTCTAGCATATTTGAATACTCTTCAAAGTGGAGGTAATGCATTAGGTGGATCATACTCATACCTAAAGCATCAGGTTTTGCATATAAGACCATCGCATTTTTGAGGTACAACAATAAATAAATAAGTTAGTGTTTGACATCTGATTACGTGTAAACAACAAAAATATATATTTGATTTTTAAAATATAAGTTTTATTTGTATGATCAAAATGCTATATTATAGACACTTTCATATCAGCGATAAGCGTCGGGGAAAAGTTACTTCCCTTACCGGATGTGACGTAAATGGGGATTATACTAGTATACAGACCGCTTATTGAAAGTAAAATGCGTAAATACGGATCGTTAAATTATGAACAATTTGACCTGTGCAGACATAAATTCCATATTAAAACAATACAAACAAATACTAACACAAAAACAAAATACGATTAATTCTTGCTAGGGTGAAATAGCGGAATTTTAAAGTGAATATCTGATGTATTGTTATAACTTTTCAATATGCTACCTGGTGATTTATTTCATTACAACCAATTTCTCTAATAAAAGCAATAATAAAAAGCTAGTAACTAAATCAAATTTCCATACTTTATAAAAACCCATACACACTCAAATTATCTTATAGAAATTAAATAGTAATTTTCTACTATTTGTGTGCTTCCGTCATTTAAAAATCCCGACGCTTTTGTTAAAGACATGAAAATAAAATTGCCTATGTTTTTTATCTTTATTGGTTTATTTTTTCCAAACTGTAGAACAGTGCAGAAAGCATTCCGTCCAGACTTATTGATTCTTTTATCATTACGCCATATAAAAAATATTTCAGGATATAATTTTATAAACATTCCTGAAAGAACGAAAACCATTTGAAAGTGACATTTATAACATTAGATTCGCAACAGACGATAGAAAGATATTTCTGATAATACAAATCTATTCTTATGATTATGAACATTTTCCCATTACCTTATTTCATAAACAAACAAATCTGTACATGTATTCGTATATGCACCCCTGGGTCGTAACATACAAATCAACATGGTACATAATTATGTTATATATTCAAGCAGCACTTGGTTGTAATAAAAGAAAGGATGCATATTTAAAAGTTATAATATACATCAGATTATGTAACTTTTGTTAGTTGTCAAAATATTTATGATCGGGACTTTATTGGTCTTACCATGCCTTACTGATTTCTTACTCCAGAATGACTACCAACTGGATGACTGGCATGAATTTATAATATGTAGTCAAATATGTCAAATTATAATTCAGTTAATAACGAATTTTTAAGTACGTTTTTCACGACTTGTTTTTTATTTCGTGACTTTTTGTTGCCCTGTACTTTACTTCAGTGTTGTTATATATTTCTGGTCCTTCGGGATCATTGTTGCCAGCACTATTAAATGTTGAGAATTTAGTACCGCTCAAGCCGGTGCTAGGGGAGTGAGGGATGCTGCACTTATTCATTATCCCTCATGTACAGACTCAATCAATCTGAGTCTGCTATTTCCACGTAATTTAGTCTTAATTCATGCTTCTAAGATCACTTTGTTTCCAGATTTTTTATCTAAATATTTGAAAGGCAAAAAGGAAAACTTACATTTTTGAACATAAAAAGCTGTAGGATACTCTGTATTAGCAAGTAAGTTGGTACGATTGAACTGCCTTGAAAAACACGGTGCGACAATTTACCTCTTTTAGAATGAAACAAAAGTGGTAAACATGATCATTTACTTAGCCATGATTCCATGATTAAATATTGAAACAAATCGTTAACCTTTTAATATTTGTATTTATTTGACCATCCTTTTTTATGTAATATCTTATTCAATTACACAAAATGTTGGCAATTTTAACCTGACAATCTAACAAGAGTAAGGATTAAGATCTTTATATCCCTTTATTTATGTACTTAATTGTATCGACAATCGACGTATCGAAAGGGTCTATATAAATACTGGCAGGCAGTTTTATATATATCTTAGTAAATCAATTTAAATTACATAAAACATCATCGTTTGTAATTGTGTTCTGTTGCATGTAGAATGGTTTCAACATTTGAGTTAATAACTCAGCCTTAGCTATACATTGATGTCTATATAAGTTACATGTTTTTGGGGTGGGGGTGGTCGTGGATCATTAACGATATACGACTTCAACATAAGTCTATGAAAACAACATTGTAACAGATATTAAAATCATTTTTATAAGTATAATTGAGTGATTATATATATTTACACATACACTTTATATATGGTTTATCAGATTACAGTAAGGCAATAATGTGTGTTTGTCTACTTTGCACGAATTGAAACAACCTTAATTCGATCACCAGGAGACGTCATCCCTATAGCAAGGTGATAATCCAAAAGGACATTTAAATTACTACCACCAACCTGAAAAATAGCATAAAGACAACAAAACAATAAATTAACTTCAGATTGAAGCTTAATATCAGAAAATCATTATTGCCTTTTCAGTGAAAAAATAGAAGATAAAAAATAAATTGTTTGCATGGTATAAAGTGTAACGTTTTGCTTTCAAGTAAGCTTGATTTCTTCCTAATTCCCTATACCTTAACATTTTCAAATATGTTCCTTTTTTACAGAAGACAATTATTAAGATATTTGTTTGTTTCTCCGAACAGCAATGATGTCTCAAAATGTTCGTAATAAGGAAATGATTGTTATATGATAAAAAGTAGCAACTTAAAATTCGGAAAAAAGATGTTGTGACCAGTTTATATAATGCAAATAAAGGTAAATAAATGAATGAAATAACTTGATTTTATCTGGTATTTATTCACAGAAAGCAAACTTTCAATGATGTTTATGAATGCCTTTAGATATTTATATCGTATATGCAATAATTAATACATATGAAGTGAACACTCAGTCATGAGTTTTTTTGTGATAAATACTTGAATAAAATACGTCAGTTGTAAGTTCTTATAGTTTTAAATTCAAACATTCAAACATAACGCTTTGCTTTGTTAGCGATCTGTCTTGTCGACATTAAAGAGTAAAACACCATTTCTAAATTAATGATGTACGAGTAGTTAGCTGCGTATACCGTAATATAGCATATACAACCAAAATTCTTAAAATTGTTTCCAATTCCTTTAAAAGTTTGAATACATATGTACAAATGATGTATAAATTGATGCTGATGTTAATTTCTGGATTTTCAGTGAATTTCTTCTGTGTTTATTAAGGTAACAATCATACATACTAAATTGATTCCAAAAATATGTCTGAAATGGATGAATACTTTGTTTTTCAACAAAATGTTTTTTAATGGTTGTAATGGTGTTTATGGATGGTACTGCATGAAAATGCAACGTCTTATACCTATACGTTCGAGTAATAATTACACATGTATTTTGTTAAGTTATTTGAATTCAAGCTTAGATTAATAAGTTGTATATTTAAAAGGAATACATATTACAATGGTGAGTGAAGAGAAATTTTTCCAAATGATATTTATACTACGGTGACGATTTTTATGAAATTGTTGCAAAGGTTACGCAATATCAAATTGTTATTTTCATGTTTTATATTTTTTTTTATATTTACCTGTACAATATCCGTTTTCTTGTCTTTTGACAGAAAATACAACTTTCAGATTATCACTTTAAAGCAAATCCTTTTTTCATAAAGACAAAACAAGCTAAAATGATAGTGTTGTCTCAATAACCATGTGTATTTTGAAACAAAAGACGCTTATTAGATAAAACAGAACTAGATATGATGTAAATAAATATATTTGTTCACATTTTACAGAAATGTTTCTCTTATTATTCATTTATGTAGATCTGATTTGCATACTAAGAATGAACTTGTTGAACAACAATCGTTTACTACTGTTTCATGAGAGCCATGTTAAATTGCACCTTCTTGTAAATATTATTATTGTTGTGAAAATAATCAACTCATGGTATTATCAAGACCTGTGATAAGATCAAAATAATTAATGCATTTTATCATTAACGTTTCTGAATATATCAATTATGCGCACATTTTAAAACAGCTTGTATGTCAAATTACAAGCAAATATGAATTTGAACAACATCATACTATTCTGTCAGTTTAGATGTAACCCTTTACCTCATACATACACGAAACAACGCACTTCCGCCCCCCCCTTTTTTTAGGCCTGAAATAGTGAAAAAATGTCCTATTTGGGCCCGAAACACATGTTTTCGTTTGAGAAATGTTGCTTAAAAAGTGAGCACTTTTTTGGCGACGCACCCCAACCAAAATATACATCAGGGGGTTGCCAGAAGGCAGATATGTCCTGTTGGGGGGGTTGAAAGGGGGGGCGGAGTCCCCCTCATCGCCAAGAAAACTTTGGACTTGTGAGAGGCTGAAAATGACCCAAGGTCGATCATAAGGTAACGTGTAACCAACGCTGAAAAGCCTTTGCTCTATCTCAATCCCTTGAGAAGTTGCAGCTCTTTGAAATAAATTTTGATGGAAAAAATTGAGGCAAAATAGTGATTTTTGGCTAAACTTTGCTATTTTTAATTTGTATTATCAGTACTATTTCACACAAAAGACAACGTCGACACTTCATTTTTCGTTTGAGCATGTACAATTTTATATTTGACTAAGTGAGATAAATCTGTTCAGTAAGTTCAATTAGCTATTTCCAAAAGTATGATTTTTTTCTACTAGTATCAATGTATGCAGATTCATCTCTCTGAAGCTTACTTATACAGTTTTTATTTAAACATATCAGATTTTATGCATGTTTTTGTTGATATCTTCCGACATTAAATGTATATAACTTAGATATTAAGATAGTGTGAGGCACAACAGGGCACGTCTGTCGACTTCAATCCTCTTGCACCTTGCTGCTGTAGGTTCGAATCCTATCAGGGATTTTGGATTTTTTATCGCAATAAAGCTTTTCGCAAGTTTACTGACGCCGGTTGTAAACAAATTGCATTTATGTTTTTTTTTTCATTTCTTAATACTTAATTATCATATCGTTATGATTGTTTCGACAAGAATCAACAATTATCTAAATATTCTACTGACACTAAATGTGTTTTTTTAACAACAAATAACACCACCTTCATTTAAGGTGTCATTATATTATAGTGCTATATTAATACTAACTCGTAGCTTTATTTCACATTTAAAACAATCATATCCACACACTTAACAAATGATACCAATCAATTACTGAAAAATACTTACATATAATTTAATAAGAATATTTGTGTTGACTGTCAACATATTTGAATGTTTTGTTTAGTGCTACTTATTTGAATATAAATCTGCTTAATATCTTAAATATAATTGATTAAAATTAATCGCATCACTACTATTAAATGATTGACACAGAAAAGGGTCGATGTGCGTTGTGTTAAATTAACATTGCATTAGATAATTCATAATTCCCGTATTGCCATTGCCTGTAAGCCTTTATTAAAATAACTGTGTACCTCGAATGATTAGGTACAAATGAATTAAAACATTTAATGTCATTATTCCGAAAGCTTTAACAATAACATACAACAGACAGATCATCTTGAATATTTATTACCTAGAATATCATAGATCTAACTTATGATATGGGCACAAAATACCATTTGATTGAAAGAAGGTTTAACATTGATATTTGTTTTGTAACATACCTTTATATATACAGTTATCTGTCATCAAAATTTAGGTTTGACCTTCAAAGGAACTAACATGTTGTATGTAAGTAAGACATACATTTTTACTGCATACTTCCACTTTTTATGTATTTATATTTCAAAATCATACAATACATGCAGTGTATTTAACTTGTTAATTATGAAAAAGGTTATGTTCATGCTTTAAAATCCTTGGTTATGCTTAAATATATGTATATGGTTATAATTGTTATTACTTAAAGTAAAACTTAACTATGTGTTTAATTTATTACAAGTGCTTACCCTTTTCCCGTTGTGATCAAATGTGACCCATCTGGAAGATAAAATGATACAAAAGAAAGTTACAAATTTCTAGTATTAAAATAGATTTTTTGAATGTTATTTGCTGGTTTTATTTCTGTTATGTTTCCTATAAAGTTGTATAATTAAGTCACCAGTAATTACCTTGAAGAACTATTACACAGTAACCAGCAGATAAACAGATAATTATAATAAGGTTAATAGAGCACAAACGACATAAAATCAGTGCTTTAACCATTGTGTGAATGATGATGTAGAGTATGTAACATCTCAAACTATTTTGTTTAAAATAAGACTATTGGTATTTTTGAAAAGTATACTGCCAGTGTATATCTCACTATTACTCTATTAATTATAATACTAAATTTTATTGACATTGTGTGGGATACACTAGACCCAAGCAGTTTAAGACATTTATTTTGAGCTTGTTTGTAAACGTTTTGGTCCGGTTAAACTTGCACAATTAAACTTATTCATCTCGAAGCATAAATCAGTTTATTGTTACTTCATATCGTGTAGCACATAATGGATTCAGGCAAAATCCGAAGAATATTTTTGAAGTAAATATATTGTATCAGGTTTCATGTTTTATGGTGTGTTATTATAATATTAATATCTTGTCTCCCTTTATAAAAAAATATATGTAACTAACTTTCTTCAAAAACATACATATTGTAAAAAAGCATTTTATATGATTTCCATTATTGTGTAAACTTTATATATTTCATTAAGTTTAGGCATACATCAACAATATAGCAAAACACATGTTCAAGTATTTCACGGCATATATATAATCAATACAAATAGCTTAGACATGCACTTTTGTTCTAAACAATAATACTGTCTTACATTATTACATTATTGTTAGAAGGAATGAATACATATAATATCTAAACATTTCTCCTTTTTTTTTAGATATGTTCAAATCAATATAAATGAGATTTTCTAAAATGTATCGTTTCTTTTTACTCAAAACTAAGTTAAATATATCAGATAAAGTATGTGATGAATATAATAAAAAACAATTTGTTATTAGAAACATATGAAGCATACATGTAAGTGTATTGGCTAAAATTGTTGCCATAAACGAATATGGAATTTTATGAGCGGTAGCTTGAATTATCAGCTGGCTCTTAGATATAAAATATAAATAACTTATGTTTATTTTTTTTATTTATTTGTTTTAAGTTTGCTTTTTTCAAAAGTTTATAAACAGCTTTTATAAGCCATTCCATAAATGCTCGATTATTTGAACATTGACAGACAGACAAACTATATAACGTGAAATTTCAAAATCTTTGCTAGTAAGACATAATCAACCTCATTATTGATGTCAGAAATTCGTCACTGCGAAGAATTTACACTTCATAGATGATTTACTGTCAGTGTACGCGTTTTGATGATCAGAACTTAGTTATAACAAAGATGCCGGGTCTGCGATATTTGGGATCTTCCATAGAGATTGATTACATACATTTAATGTAATTACGGTATTTCAAATGAAAGACAAATACAAAGTTATATTTTAAAAGTAGATTGCTTCATTTAAAAAAACGACATTAAATAACACAAACGCACTTTTAATTTTATGTTTAGACGAATTGTTTATAAATACCGACCACTTTGTTAATTCTGGGAAATGTCATATTCAAATTCGAATCGTTTTCAAAATAAATTTACAGAGTTATGTGACAAAAATGTCATAGTTACTAATGTTAACCATACATACCCTAGAATTAGGTACGATGTACATATAAGTATTAACGTCGAATAATGTACTACGACAAATGTCAGAGGTATGAAACATTTAGTTATCACATGTCAATACTTCTAGGATTTGTGTGTGTACTTAAGTAGAGAAATTAAATCACTTCAAAATAGCCATAAACCGAAACGATGGGTACCTTCTAAAAGGCAATCCTTAATCTCTAGACATGTTTCTATGTGTTCCGTTTCTATGTCTAAAATTACGACAACAAATCCAGCATTTTGTGAACTCATATACACAATGTTCGTGTCATATCGCGCTTGGTGTACTTTGGAAATATGTGCCAAAAAATCCTCAATTTTATGGCGTAAGGTGTCACACTAAATTTAAATAAAATATGAACAGTGTTTGTCAACTTCTGGTCTGGTTTGCAGGTATCTATTTTAGGATGATATGAGCATGTGGACTGTCATATCTTCCCGCCCATCCACTTGTACACAACAGTTAAGTTAATGGACTGTCAATGTACGTCTCGATAATTTTGGTAAAATATTAGTGAAACATATGAGTTGTTTTATTGTTTTCGTTTTTCACAATATCTTTAACTACACTTTGTGTATTTAACATAAACATCCTACCATAAATGTATCAAGAGGCTTTTGAATCAGATTATTTGGATAGAAATATATATAAGTTTTAGAACTTTTTATTTGAAATCACTTTCTTTTATGGGTCAACCATTGTATTTTCATTAAAAAAAATCTGGTGCTTACATAAAAAATATAATTATGAATGTACATATACAATTATTTCTGTCATTGTATTAGGTGTCCAGTATAAAAATGATAAAATTATGAATTAGATTGGTAATATAAACTTAACGTTTAAAGAAACACTTATCACTACATCTGAATTATGTATGCCCTTTTTAAACTTGAATAACGACACGTGTATTTCAAAAAGTATAAAGTACTATTGACAATGGGAAATCGTGAAAGCTTTTGATAAACAGCTTGGGCTTTACTACATTTGGTAACTGTCTCCGATTAACATTCATCGATTTAAATTTCTTTCTTTAAACATAATGTAAAATGTTAGAATGTGTGTCTGACTTGTTACAATTAATATAGTTTCATTATATATATTTATTCAGTAATTTAAGTATTGTACATGTTTATTTTAATTGTCAAATATGTGATCGTAATACAGTTCAGTTGAATTCATTTGTATTATAACAAAACAATAATGCGTGTCTGTTTCAGTATGACTGTTTATATCGCATAATTATGTAAATGTTGTTCATTGCAGATATGATTGCAATTCATTGCAGATATGACTGTTGTTCATTGCAAATACGACTGTTGTTTATTTTTAATATGAATGTTGCAGATTTCAAATATACGCGTTGTTTATTGCAGATATGACTGTTGCTTATTGCAGAAATGGCTGTTGATTATTGCAGATATGACTTTGTTTATTGCATAAATGACTGTTTTGTTATAACAGATATGTGTGCTGTTCATTGCATACAAGTCAGTGTTGTTAAGTAGACATATTACAAATATTACTGTTGTTTATTGATAATATGACTATTGTAGACTCAATCAGATTTTTGTTGTTTATTTCAGACTTAAAAAGGTATTTATGTGTAATGACAACTATTCATAAAATTAATAGTACGAGTACGTATGTTTATTTTGCGTGTTAACTTTATATGTAATCGCAGTGATTATCATTTATTAGAAATGCCTTTGACATGTTATCTTCGACTGTTAGATTTTATTACAAAAATAACAAATAACATGCGCGCAGCCTTAAAATTGTGATAGCGCGAACACTTTATATACCGGTACTTTAAAGAAAAAAATGGGTCATGCAAGAAAATCAAAAAGTATTCAAGTATTTTATTTTCCAAAGAAGATGTCCATTCTTCTAGTTTAAAAATCAACAACTCGTCCCCTTCTAGTTCAATTTGATTTTGACACTGGATTATGTGTAGAACTTGCGTTGAAATGTTACATACATTAAGAAATTACTGTTTAAACAGTTTCAGACGACTTAAAGTTCATTTAATGTAGGTTTCTATCCGTATTTTCAACCTTTGAGGGGTCGTAAACTCTCTTTTATTAGCAATTTGTAAAATAAAGAATGCAGCATTAGAAAAGTTGTATGCCACATATATGTTAATTATCAAACATAAGTACATATATGCAGTAATAACCCTTACTACGTTAGTTACGCAGAATTACTATGGTGTTTATGCTGCAAAAATCGGTCGGTAATTGTACTAAATTGTAGATATAACTTAAATCTTTAATCTTATTACTTTTCTTAAAATCGTATTTACATTTACAGGCATGCAGCTTTAATGTAAATCAAATTACTATTTCTTTTTAATTCAACAAAAAATCGGTAATAAAAATAATCGTTTATTTGTTTTTCTTTTCTTACTGTTTTTTGTTAATTTACACCCATTATGAAGCAGTTAGTAAAAACAAATCGTTTCCAAACCATTTCATAATATAAAGTAACTCTTTAATATAAAAAACATATGTCTTGCAAAACCGCGGGTGATTATTGTAAGGAAACCAAAAACTCACCGGTGATCTTCCGTTAAATAACGTGAATGTTTTAACTTCATTTAATGAGCAACAAAATATAATATAGTTGTAATATGTACAAAAACATCAAAGTTAGGTCAGATGTGGAGATGCGTTTAATTTTCGTACTTGGGGAAAATGTTGATCAAAGTTAACTGCTATAGGCTTGTACTGAAAGAAAAAACGCAAATGATTGTTATTTGTAACTTGGATACATCATTATCTGATTTCTTTTAAAAATTGCAATTTTACTTTATATGAATCTATGTATACTTTCCAAATTTATATATGTTGGAGTAGTTTATACAACATATATAGAATAAATATAGAAAATACAAATATGTTCCTATGAGTATACGAGGGTGGGTCAATATGTACTGCAATGTGTACAATTCATCTAACAAAAGAGCAGCTATTGTTAAATGTTCAATATATATCCATCGAAATAATTTCATCCTAAGGATACAAAAGTTTTAAATTAATTTTAAACACCATTTCTAAAATACAGTGTAACATCTGAAAACCGAACACCTGTAAGACTAGCCAAAAAGCTCGGAATTTGGAAATTTCCGGAATTCAGAAGTTCGGAATTATCTTAACAAGTAGAAATATTATAACAATTTTTTAAGTTAGACATGTTGAAAATTACTGATTAACCCATTACTGCATGAGCATTTTATGAAAAAAATGGCTGTTTTCATTGTAAAGTCTCCTGTTACAAGTTCAAATTGCTATAAAACTATCAAAACTGCTTCAGTACTAATTAAACTTGAGACAAATGTTGACTGGACAAAACC